GAGTAGATAGATAGTTTTCCTTTTTGACCTGCGTGCCGTAATGATGTATCGAGGATAATTAGTTAGTTTAGTGAGAAACCTGTTACGGTACCGGAGAAACCTGGTTCGGTACCGGAAAAACATGCTTCGGTACCAAAGAAACCTGCTCTGGTACCGGAGAAACCTGCTCTGGTAGCGGCCACATGGGAACACGGAGAGACGTCAGGTTCCAAGGACGTAGATAAGCTGAAAATTGAAATTCACAATGGTGGTAAGTTCTGCTATTTTTAATTTTATCCTAAAGTTAGATTAGCAATATATCCTTATTTTATACTCGTATATTTTTTAGCGATCGTGGTACTGGAGAAACCTGCTTCGGTACCGGATAAACCTGCTCTGGTACTGGAGACAGCTGCTCTGGTTCCGGAGACACCTGCTCTGGTACCGGAGAAACCTGCTCTGATAGCGGCCACATTGGAACACGGAGAGACGTCAGGTTCCAAGGGCGTAGATAAGCTGAAAATTGAAATCCACAATGGTGGTAACTTCTGCCATTTTTAATTTTAGCCTAAAGTTAGATTAGCAATATACCCTAATTTTATACTCGTATATATTTTTTAGCGATCGTTGGTTTCAATGAGGGATCTCTGAAATGACGCAGAACTGTTGTAATTTTAAGAGCTATTATCCTTAATCATGTTTTTATTTATTTTTATTTTTTTAATACAAAATTAAAAAAATGATCCAAACAGTGTTGAAAGGCTAGAAGGTGATCCACTCCGTGAAAGAGTTAACGGCACATGCTAAAAAGTTCAGGCCCCCGTGGGCTGAGAAACCCTCCCGGTGCGTGAGAAACCCTCCTGCGGTGGCTGAGAAACCCGCCCCGCGTTGGCTGAGAAACCCGCCTCAATTTCCTCTTCAATTTTCCCTTCTATTTCCCTTTCAATTTCTAGGTCTATTACATTTGACAACGCGCCTGACTCTTCATTTTTTATTTATTTTTTTTTTAAAAAAAATTTCAGTTTGTTATTTTTTTCCCATTTTTTCCTCCGTTCCCACTGATGTGGATGCTCTAAAACCGTAACAAATTTTTATTGCGGCTGGTGGGTCCCGTTATTGCGGCTTGCGGGCCAAATTTATATTTGTTGTTGATATTTTTTCGTCTGTTCGTCAAATTTATATCTCCTCTCCCCTCTCGAGTCCCGATCCCCCATAACAAGAAACCTATTCCCGATAACAAGAAACCTCCCGAGTTCTGTCAAGAAGCAACTAGGCCTGGAAGATCGCCGACTGAGAAACCTGCTACGGTACCAGAGAAACCTGCTTCGGTACCGGAGAAACCTGCTTCGGTACCGGAAAAACCTGCTCTGGTTCCGGAGACACCTGCTCTGGTATCGGAGAAACCTGCTCTAGTAGCGGCCACATGGGAACACGGAGAGACGTCAGGTTCCAAGGACGTAGATAAGCTGAAAATAAAAATTCACAATGGTGGTAAGTTCTGCTATTTTTAATTTTAGTCTAATGTTAGATTAGCAATATACCCTTATTTTATACTCGTATATTTTTTAGCGATCGTGGTACTGGAGAAACCTGCTTCGGTACTGAAGAAACCTGCTCTGGTTCCGGAGACACCTGCTCTGGTTCCGGAGACACCTGCTCTGGTACCGGAGAAACCTGCTCTGGTACCAGAGAAACCTGCTTTGGTACCAGAGAAACCTGCTCTGATAGCGGCCACATGGGAACACGGAGAGACGTCAGGTTCCAATGGGCGTAGATAAGTTGAAAATTGAAATCCACAATGGAGGTAACTTCTGCCATTTTTAATTTTAGCCTAAAGTTAGATTAGCAATATACCCTAATTTTATACTCGTATATATTTTTTAGCGATCGTTGGTTTCAATGAGGGGTCTCTGAAATGACGCAGAACTGTGGTAATTTTAAGAGCTATTATCCTTAATCATGTTTTTATTTATTTTTATTTTTTTAATAAAAAACTAAAAAAAATGATCCAAACAGTGTTAAAAGGCTAGGAGGTGATCCACTCCGTGAAAGAGTTAACGGCACATGCTAAAAAGTTCAGGCCCCCGTGGGCTGAGAAACCCTCACGGTGGCTGAGAAACCCTCCCTGCGGTGGCTGAGAAACCCGCCCCGCGTTGGCTGAGAAACCCGCCTCAATTTCCTCTTCTATTTTCCCTTCTATTTCCCTTTCAATTTCTATGTCTATTACATTTGACAACGCGCCTGAGGCTTCATTTATTATTTTTTTATTTTTTTAAAAAAATTTCAGTTTGTTATTTTTTTCCCATTTTTCCTCACCTTCCCACTGATGCGGATGCTCTACACCGCCAGTCACCAGGCACCTCCAGCATGATATGGTTTTCTACACATTATGATACCCACCTGCAACGAACCATTGAATGCCCCTACACATCAAACAACGAAACCGACAACCTTTGCCATTTCAATGGAAAGCAAGAAATGGAGCCTATGTAATGTGAGTAAAATGACGAGTTCACTCTATTGGTATGAATAAGCGCACAGAAAGGCGAGAGTATGAAGCATGTATTGTGAATAGAATTGTTCAGTTTCGAATTCTAACTGTTTCCGATGATGTTCATAATAGAGTAACATATAACGGTTTAAAGTGATTGTATTGCACTAGCTCTTGAAAGAAATTATAGAATTGATGAGCGAGTACAGGACATTTAACATGTTGATTGTTACTTTGTTATTAACATTATCGGCATCAGTTATAATTTCTTTTCCCATTCTATTACCACTACATGACTTCTTCTCGTGTTTCCCACTGTGCTTACGCGTCTCAGTAGTCTGAATTTATTATGTTACCAACTATCATCTTCGACTATACATTACGTACGGGAACAATTAAGAGCGCATGTCATTGATACAGTCTAAACATGGATATATTCATACGTTATGAACCAGCCAGATGTCAACATTTGAACTCCCGGTGCACTTGAAAGTCACCAAACACTTTCGTCTTCAATGGTGCGGCTAATAATTCACACAACGGTAAAAAAAAAAATGCGGTGCAAATATTATGCGTCGAAAATAGACGTGTTGTCCGTTCATATTTTTAAAAATATTTGTATAGAATCGTTCGTCTTACTCCTATGTTTAAGATATTGTATTATTTATGTATTCTCTTTTTCCTTTTAATAGTTTTTGTTAATTAATTAAGTACTCAAATTGTAACATATTTTCTTACTATGATTATATATTATATATTAGTACATTATATTATAGTTATTCCGGTCAAGAATATACTTATTCTTGTCTTTTCCATTTTCCGGTAGGGTTTAACATCTTCTTCAAAACGAGATGTTCCCAGACTCCTCATCCGATCTAATTAAGGATATCAACATTCTTCCTGAATGCGAAAGGACTTCGCCGGAATATGTTATACATATGTTTCATTTTATTTAATCCGTTCTTATTAAATTCCAAATGAACCACAGAAGTTCCATCATCACCATCTATAGTCGTTGGCAGTATATCTATTTCATGTTCTATTGAGGTGTGTAATTCCAGAGTAACCACTTTCTTTGTTTTGGGTGTGGAGAATGCCGTTCTAACCATTTTTTTTCCTCTCTAACATTCTAATCCATATTAAACAATCAAGTTGAAACAGAGAAAAGTTTTCCAAAGCACATCTTATCTATAGTGGTATGTCATTACCTGGCTTATGCTGCTAGACCCCCATAAAAACTTATGTGAACTTTTTGCTACATTTGTTTGTATTAAATATGCTTAATATAGATATGGAATTTTTAGTCCATTGTGATATGCTTAAATGATGGAGGATTTAGTACAGAGCTCTTTCTGAAACTTCTGGGCTTCTGGAGGATTATAATGAAGATGAAGAGCTTTCACTGGCTGAGTTCTCTGATTGGCTTATTGCTTCCTTCAGGATTATAATGAAGATGAAGAGCTTTCACTGGCTGAGTTCTCTTACAGTATAAGTTTTTCTTTTTTGAATGTTACTGGCTCACCAGAAACGCCTCCTGTTCATACCTACTGAAACACAAAGAACCAATAACGCCTCCACTGAGGCTCGAACTCACAATCTTCCAAATAGAAGTCCAACCCGAGTACCGTTAGACCACATAGTCTTGGTCTAGCATTATAAGTTATTATTATTATTATTATTATTAGCAATAAGCTTATTATTATTATTATTATTAATTTAGTTTTAATTAATTATACTATCTAGTTCATTAGCCAAGCCCATTTAACGAAGTTGTTTTTATTATTGTTTTGTGTAAGCTATTTAGACTTTTACAGCCCAGCCCATTTAATAAATAATGTTCTTTTTCTTCCGGGTAACAACCTTAGCGATGAACCGAGAGTGATACAGGATTTCCGGCAGCAACAAACGAAGAACCGGAGGGCGTGGATCAAGAAGATTTGACCGATTGATTCGCATAGGTTTAAATGCAAAATCGGAGAAGAAGAATCAATGACCCCGGACCAATTTCGGTCGGAGGTGATTTTCCAGAGGTCGGCGACGGAGATTTCCGGTGGCGTTCGCTGGTATTCAATTTGAAATTTGCTATTCTGGGTTGATTTAAGGAAGCTTGGGTTTCTGTTTTTTTCATTCAATCCTTTTCTTGAGTTGACTTTTCTTCATTCATGCATTTCCATGAATTGGGAGCTAAAAAAAAATGAAGTGTATTTAAGCAATAAAGATTCATTTTTTTTTTTCTTTGCTTTAATGGTAGATAAATTAAAGTTCGGGTTTCCCTTTCTGCCCTTCATGAACAGCAGCATTCTGATACTTTATAGATTCAATGAGCTTTTCTTTTTGGAATAGAAATTCTGGAATGTAGTGTGGACTTAACAGGGCATATTCTTATGAAAAAGGGTAAATTATTTAGTGGTGTTATGGAAATTTCATTGGTGGGATTCTGTATAAGTTGAGAGAATCTGAACAAATCAATTGAAATTATAGAACTTGAAAAAGAATGCCAGAATCCCAGATACCATATCTCAGTTTTTGTTGTTTACTACAGTGATCTTGTTTGATATTACTATCGGCTTCTATCTATCACTGGAGGAGTTTTTACTGACAATATCAATTATCAACTAATAGATCTTTTGCATGATAAATGTATTTAACTTATATTGTTCAAATCTTGATGCAGGGGCAAAAGAAATCCTGCAGAGCATCTCTGGAAAGCAGGGCAAAAAAATGGATACCCTTGATTCTGCTAAAGATATACCAAAATTTGTTGAATTTTTTAAGGTATCCTTCTCATTCAGGTTCATGTTTCTCTTTCTTGCTCTTTCTTTTCTATTATCAATCATTTTACATAGAAATTATAAGTGCTAGCTTATGCTGCCTGTCCACACCTCCCAGCTAATCCTAACTATAATAAAGCTAAATCTTTTTTGGGAAGAAATCCCGGCCAAATGAATTACACTGTTTTTGGGAAGAATGGATTACATTATTCTGGTCAAAGCATTTAATATTGTCTTTTCATGATACCACCTAGAGCCACTCAATAGTTTGACTTTTAATACTGCCAACATTGGTTTGTGTATACCATTTTCCAATGCATGGTCATCCATTCTACCGCCTAAGATTTTTGAATTATTTGTTTGTTGTACAATTTATCATCTATAAATACTACATGTTTCATAGAGAAACCCACCTCACATTTACACAGCAGCACACTCTGAAGCACAAGAGAAAGATCAAGAAATAAGAGATAATATTTTATTTTCTATTACTTGGAACTCTATCTCACAAAACTTCATCCTTTTAAATATTTATTGCACTGATTATACAGTGGTTCTCATTTGTTTTGAGGAAAGGAGATTTGGGAGAGGCATATCTTGCAAAGAAAAAAAATGTTAGAACCCTTTTTTTAAGAAAATTATAACAGCAAAATACCAATGATTCTCATATTGGGAAAAAATGTTAGAACCCCTTTCTCTTTATATATATGTGTTTGAATCACACTATCTACATACATTTTACAGCTTCAACAAACCTAAAGTAATATGAAGAAGATCACTACTTCAACCGTTATTGGAAGAAAAAGGAAACAACATTTTGACAGCATAGGTTTGCTCATCTTGCTATTATTTTCTGTAATTTTTTAATTCGTTAGTATGTCTTTATGAGTAACTCGAAGAACATTGTATAAAATGAACTTTTCTGGACCTCTTATTAAAAAAAGTAAATGAACTTTGCAGCCAGGTCTACTATTATCATTCCGAGTTATAAAGCCATTTTTTGGACCAATAATACATAGAACAAAGACAAAATGGAAAATAGATAAGTGTTATTAGTGCCAGGTTTAGGTATACAACTCTGATAAAAAAAAATAATACTTTAAAAAATTACCAGATCTCTAAAATAATTAAAGAGGAGATGTCCTGCATGCTCCGGATCTAGGATTATCTTTGATGTCTAGCCACTTTGTTCTTTGGTCTCAAATCCATCTTTATCACACCCAGGGTCGGCCCTGGAGCAAGGGGAGGCTGGGCCCTTGCCCAGGGCCCATGCTTGGGGTGGGCCCCATCCTATCTCTTATACATAGTATATATGTATTGAGTATTAAGTAATTTATGTACATATATTTTATAGTAAGGAGAATTAGTTTGGCTGGTAATCAAAGGCCGGTGATCCAATCCTTCCCTTCACATTTTAGAATTCCTCAACTTTACTTCTTTGCTTATATTTTAATGTATCTTTTAAAAAATTATTTTTATTGATTTTATGTGTTTAATACGGAGTTGTATTTTTAATGTAGTTTTTAAATATATAAATTTTCATAAATTTATACTAAACATATTATGAAAAAATTTTATATTAAATATATAAATTCTTATATTAAATTTTTAATGCATTTTCTAAATTTTTAAATTTGTATATACTTATGCTAAACATATTATGAAATCAACTCATGTTAACCAAACAAGACGCATAAAAATAGGACGGAGGGGGTTATATGATATATTTTGAGATTAAATTATGAAAAAAATTAAAAGATAATTTACTCCGCACCTTTTTATGAATATCTAATCAATGTAATATAGAAGTTTCTATCATGTCTCATTGTATTCAAATTATTCTAAAAAAGTTTGAAAATTATCTAGTTAAAAGAAAAAGTATTTATAAGAATCATATAAATATAGAAGATGTGTGATTTAAAATATACTTTATATTCAAACTATTTTATTTAGATAATTATGTTTCATATCTTTTTGAATTTTTTTATTGCGTTTTGAAATATTTTAATTTCTTGCTCCTAGTTTAAAAAAAATTGTAGCTTCACATATGTTTGTAATTATTGTTTTATAAATTTTTAATAATAATTAATTTATTATTTATTATAATAACAATGCTATTGTTTATAAGTTGACTCGATTTTAAATTATTTATTCATTTTTATAAACTATAATAATTATTTATTTATGAAGGCACTTATATGATTATTTATTACTTTGTATTAAGGAAAACACCTAGAATTTTTTTCATTATTATTATTGTCGCTATAAAATTGTTAAAAACTTGTTAATCTTATTTAAAGTTATTGATATTAATAATTTTTTCCTTATTTAATTTAAATTTTAGGCATGAAATATATATTAACTGGGGCCCATTTTTTTGTCTTGCCCCGGACCTATAAAATGATAGGACTGGCCCTGATCACACCGGAAAAGCCATGAGAGTACTTTTAGAGCACACATATGAGCTGTCTGAATGAAGAACAAAAAAACAATCAAAAGCATGGAATCTATCATGATGTTCCTGAAACAAACTCAAATCTATCTTCTGCACAACCTTTTCAACATGGTCATTGTAGCCAGTAAACCTTAGATCATATATTTATATTTATTAAATTCGAAGTATAATATATCACTTAGATAATTCTATCAACCAGTTTTTAGTACACTAAATTACAAATATAATATATCAGATTCATGCAAGTAAAAAAATTATATACGGAGTAATAAATAACAAATTGAAATCTTGGTACTTCTCTTTGAGATTCATCCAAACTCAGATATGAAATTTTCTCCATTCGAAAATCATGCAATTGACTTTTTAGATTGAAAATCATTTTGACACGATTACTGTCTATAGGCAGTTAGATATACGATCTATGAACATGCAGCTGGAATTTTATATTCACCAAACAAATTCGAAAAAAAAAATTGATCTCTCCCATCAAAGCTAGAAAAACACTTGGCTGTTTGCATCTATATACAGAATCGTAATTGATTCAACCACAGAAGATGCTCAGACGACCAAACCGTATAGTCTAGAGTTTATATGAAATTGGGATACTGAGCTATTTTAATTTTATATAGTAATGGAATAGAAGAAGGTCGAAGATTATAAACCTCCTACTGCTAAACGAGCAGAGATAGTTGGATTGATTTGAGCATGCGATGCTTGAAAGTTTTAGAAACGAAGAGAGAAGGAGGCTGTTGAACGAAGAACATGGGTCAGAACAAATGGGAGAGATCAATACGCAGAGATGGATTTGTGGATATTTATACATGGGCTTTAAGGATTTGGGCTCTCCATCTATTTTTGTTAGGCTGTATAGTTTCTTGGGCTTCATGTTCTACTAACTTCTTGCAGCCCATGTGTGTATATATGGCAAATTATGCCCTGGAAACGTGTTCATCGAGAATGGTGAACACAAGGCTAAACGACGTCGTTTTTAGGCCAAAAAAAAAAAAATCGCGGATGTGGAGTTAACGGCGCGCGTTGATCAAATTATGAATTTTCTGTTATGAGATTATGAATTTTCATAAAATTCATAATCTCATAACAGAAAATTCATAATCGCATAACAGAAAATTCATAATCTCATAACAGAAAATTCATAATCTCATAACAGTAAATTCATAATCTCATAACAGTAAATTCATAATCTCATAACTGAAAATTCATAATCTTATAACAGAAAATTCATAATCTCATGGTTCCAAAGTGAATGTGTAGGCATGGATTCATAATTTATGAATGTCCGTGATTTCGGACGGGAATGTGTAGGCATGGTTCCAAAGTGAATGTGCAACATGAAATTCATAATTTATGAATGTCCGAAATCATTGTTCATCTCAAATTAAAGTGAAACCGCAAAATGTGAAAATGAAGAAGAAAAGTCACGCAATTAATTAAGAAAAAAAAAAAAAAAGATAACGGTGTACTAACAACGTTGGAACCGTGTTCACCATGAATGGTGAACAAGGTTCCATGGCATAGCGCTCCTGTATATATATAATTTTTAAATACTACTCAAAATGTTGTTTACAACTAAATTTTTAATAATTTGTAATTTTATTTCTGTTTAATATAAGCAAATATTTCTACTTGTATTTACTTTGTTTTGAGCCTTTAATAATTTGTAATTATACTCTAATATTTTATATACTTTTAAGTATGTTTAAATCTCAAATTTAAAATTTTATAGAAATTTTAATATTCATTTAAAAAAATGATTATCTTACAATACAACAAACATAAGTTTATTAATGCTAAAAGTTTGATCCGTGCATCGCACGGGTATCATACTAGTGTGTAGAATTCCTGAGATTCACAGAAAGATACTATCAAAAAATTGGATATAGTAGAAAATATCTTTAGTGCCTCATTCCCTCTAGAATTGGTGATGGGTGCAAAAATGGTCGTTCTTCCATTAGTTTTCTAACTAGCCTCAACTCTAATCTATTGAAAAACTGAAAAGCACTCCTTGCCCTAATATTCTAGTATTGCTCAAGAATATCTGTTCTAATAATTTGTTTCTGTATTTCGATAATTAAATGATTGATTTTCAGTCTTTTCACTCTGACAGTTTGGCAGAATTCCTTCTTCTGTTCTGATTATCTCTAACTGCATGTTGTAAGATCAACTCAACGTGGATGAAGCCAGTTACCCACTGGATCATTTTAAGGGGGGGGGGGGGGGGGTAACTTTTGGACTACCTGGAATTTCATTTTACAGCACTTAGTTGGTCAGTTCTTGATTTTTAATTTCCACATGCTAGTTTGTGTTTAAGCCTTAATAACAGATTGAATGAAAAACTAGTTGGGAACCTAATCGCCTTTGAGGTTAACTGGCCACAATTTGGGCACAGTGCAATATTTATGAACAAATAATGACATATATTTATATTGTATGTATCTTTGCACGTATTATATAAAAGAAATGATATGTTAACATAGTTTTAATGTTATAAGATTCATTTTCCTAAAGCATATTTGAGCTCTTGTAGATCTAAGATTAAGAGTTTAAATCCTCTATTTTTTTGGTACATCAGAAAAATAAAACACACTAGTTAACTTATTAACAACTCTGCCCCATTAGCATCTTCCCCAATGAGGCATCCTACTACTATTCATTTAAAATTTCACTTATAAAGGTTTGGCCAATCTGTCCTTATATAGGTCTTTTATTCTCAATGCATTTTTTTTTTACTTGCACGTTTCTTGGCAGACATTCAATGATTTTTTTTATAAGAGAGCTAAAGTCTGGCACAGACAGCGATGTCGTTGCGTTCTGGGCAGGCAATTGGTCTTGCACCAGACTTTAGCCGCACTATGGCATTCAACAATGTTACTGATGCTGCAAGATTTTGGATTAAGGTATATACTACTTTTTATTTTTAAAAAAAATATTTTTAGTAATTACTAATAACAAATATGGCTTCTATATATTCCAAAAGTTATGCATGCTTGCTGCCATCAATTGAAGAAGCATCATGTGCTATTTGAATGGTATTTAAAAGGATGAACAAAATGCTATGATCTTCAGATCAAATACATTTAAAAAAAAAAAAACCAATATAGCACAAAATAACATTACAATGCTAGAGTAGGTTGTTAGCAATATCTGCATTTTTTTTTTTGAAAGTAGCAATATCTGCATTATTAACCTTAAGAATATGACACTACCTCAGGGCTAAAATTTTTCCATCCAAGGCCTTTTGGGGGATGAAGCATGCTCCAGTGCTTTCATTGATGGAAGTTTGCTTAACAGTACATTTATATTTAAATCATTCCAGGATTACCATTATTTCTATCTTCCTATCTCTAGAACTATTGAGAAATTTATAGACATACCTGGATGTTTATATACGTAAACTATTCTTTGGCTCTGAATCATATTGGTAGCTTATTGGCTGCTTCTGTCTTTAACTATTTTCAGCCATCCTAATTGCTGATTTTGTGTTACCTTCTAGGTAAATCCTATTGCTGTGAATAGCAAGTATTGTAATGTTTTCACAGAGAATAAGAGGGCTGTGTCAATAATATCAACAGAGACTTTGGAAAGGTTTGACATTTTGAAAGTATGACATAAATTTACATTTATGTTCCTTTTATCTCGGAAGGCTTCCTGTTATTTAGAAGATTTGTGTCTTGTTTTGCTAGTTATCCTGGTAGCCTCCTTGTTGCTTGCCATTGCTTCTTCTGATGATTGGTGGCTCAGATGTCAATCTTTGTGTCTTTATATCAACTTTGTTGTTATTTTAGTTTATAAGTGTAGCTTTGAATTTCTAAATGTAGGTAGCCTTTGTTGCAATTGGAGCAACAATGGTTGGCAATATTACTTTTTCAAAAGAGCATGACTATGTGGCAAGGGTAGGTTTGTGATTGATGACATAAGCTTTTGGCTATTCCCTTTTCGATTGATGACCGGCAGTAGTACTCCTAACTTCTTAGTGGGTAGTTCTCCAACCGGTGGCTTTGGTTGTTCTACACTTGCCCTTAATCCTTTCAAAGCTTGGTTTCTTTTAACTTCCGTTTGGAAATAAAAAGTAAAGAGTAGGATATTCAGTAATATAATAGAATCACTAATTTCAAAAAATTTAAACAACATAATTACCAGACACTAGAGAAACCCCCTTCTCAGTGGACAGTTCTCCAAACGGTGACTTTAGTTATGAAATCAATGTGGACACTTCATTAATCAGTAGCGTTAATCGTTCTACCAATAAATTTAAATCTTGGTTACCTTTTTTGCTTTCAGCTGCTGTTTTATACAAAGTAAAGATTAGTACTAATATAATAACTTTTTTAGTAAATATTAAAAGTAGAAATTACCATATTTCTTCATCGTTTTAGCAATCTCCTCTACCTTAGTCTGTTTTATAAAAAGTAAAGATTAGAAGAGATATATAACTTTTGAGTAAATATAAAAGTAGAAGGTAGAAGTTACCGGAGACACCTGCTCTGCTCTGGTACCAGAGAAACTTGCTTTGGTAGCGGCCACATAGGAACATGGAGAGACGTCAGGTTCCAAGGACGTAGATAAGCTGAAAATTGAAATCAACAATGGTGGTAACTTTTGCCATTTTTAATTTTAGCCTAAAGTTAGATTAGCAATATACCCTAATTTTATTCTCGTATATATTTTTTAGCGATCGTGGTACCGGAGAAACCTGCTCTGGTACCGGAGGCACCTGCTCTGGTACCGGAGACACCTGCTCTGGTACCGGAGAAACATGCTCTGGTACCGGAGAAACCTGCTCTGGTAGCGACTACATGAGAACACGGAGAGACGTCAGGTTCCAAAGACGTAGATATGCTGAAAATTGAAATCCACAATGGTGGTAACTTCTGCCATTTTCAATTTTAGCCTAATGTTAGAGTTGCAATATACCATAATTTTGAACTCGTATATATTTTTATCGATCATTGGTTTCAATGAGGGGGTCTGTAAAATGACGCAGAACTGTTTTGAGTTGCCCCTCCTTCACCTTCTTCATCATCTTGTTGGTCGTCATTTTTCTTTGCGACAGCGGTTGAAGAAGTCTACAAGAAATTTTAACACATTCAAAATCGGGTTTTTTACTGCCCCTCCTTCACCTTTATCATCATCTTGTTGGGTCACCCTTCCCCTCCCATTTTTTTGGGAACTAGAGTTGATATCTTGCATTTATCTTCTGTTTGGAAATAAAAAGATTAGGGGAGATTTAGTAATATAATAGAATTACTAATTTTAAAGAACCAGACATTCCAGAAACCGGCACTAGTACTCCTAACTTCTTAGTGGGCAGTTCTCCAACCGTTGGCTTTGGTTGTTCTACACTTGCCCTTAATCCTTTCAAAGCTTGGTTGCTTTTAACTTCCGTTTGGAAATAAAAAGTAAAGATTATGAGATTCAGTAATATAATAGAATCACTAATTTCAAAGAATTTAAACAATATAATTACCAGACACTGGAGAAACCCCCTTCTCAGTAGGCAGTTCCCCAAACGGTGACTTTAGTTATGAAATCTCTGTGGACACTTCATTAATCAGTAGCGCTAATCGTTCTACCAATACACTTAAATCTTGGTTCCCTTCTTTGCTTTCAACTTCTGTTTTATACAAAGTAAAGATTAGTAGTAATATAAAAACTTTTTTAGTAAATATTAAAAGTAGAAATTACCATATTTCTTCATTGTTTTAGCAATCTCCTCTACCTTAGAGTCTGTTTTATAAAAGGTAAAGATTAGAAGAGATATACCACATTTGAGTAAATATAAAAGTAGAAGGTAGATGTTACGCTTTAGCACTCTTCTCTTGATTAACTTCTGTGTTTTATACAAAGTAAATATTAGACGTGATATAATAACTTTTAGAGTAAATAAGAAAGTAGAAATTACCATATTTCTTCTTCGTTTTAGCAATCTTTTCTTCATTAGTTTCTGTTTTATACAAAGTAAATATTTGACGAGATATAATAACTTTTTGAGTAAATACGAAAGTAAAAATTAACATATTTCTTCTTCGTTTTAGCAATCTCTTCTTCATTAGCTTCTGTTTTATCGAAAATAAAAATTAGAGGATATATAATAACTTTTTGAGTAAATAAGAAAGTAAAAGTTACCAATTCTCTTCAATACAACACTCTCCTCCTCTGTGTTTTATACAAAATAAATATTAGAGGAGATATAATACGGAGTAACTTTTTTGAGTAAATAAGAAAGTATTTACCATTATTCTTTTTCACTTTAGCAAACAACTCTGCAACCTTCTCTTTATTAGCTTCTGTTTTATGCAAAGTATAAAGATTAGAGATATAATAATTTTTTGAGTAAATATGAAAGTAGAAATTGTAACACCCCCTAAATTCCATGCTATTTAAAGCCTTAAACATGAAGATATCTAAACCAAAACATCAAACACAGCGGAAGACTGAAATAGGAAATATATAAACTGGAAGTGAAGGGGTGCTATGCCACGCTCACCCAGGGGTGAACGCACAGGCTAACATATGCATTGTTCAAAATCTAAAACCAATCATCACAAAGTACTAAGTCTAAATTGGCTCACATGCCACAAAACACAAGGGAGGAGCTACACTAGCTGGCACTAAACCGCGCACTCGTCTAAGAATCACCTGAAAGAAACATTTAAACATGGGACGACACCCGGTCAGCGAATAATGCTGGTAACCCACCAATACATGTGAAATATCATACATAGATAAGATATAGGTTTGTAAAGCCATTTTCGAAACGGAATACATATATATAAGTCCAAAACCAAGAGTAATAGTCAACACAAGACTCAAACACTCTCAACAAGAACACGGGAACGCATCCCAAGACTACAAGGAACAACAACGACTCACGAGAAGTCTCAAGGTATAATCTATCATCACACAATAGATTAACACCCGACATGCATGATACAAGAGATTAAGGACACACACAATGGCAACACATGCCAAGGCAACACATGCCTTTGTGACTACACACGTCACAAGAAGAGAACTCACAACAACGGCTACACAAGCCCTCGTGAAATCACCCATCACGAGTTGATATGCTTTCCTTATGCCCGGTTCCAACCTTATGGCTACCCCCAACCTTATATCTAGTTCCAACCTTTACCTCCAGGACCCCTGTACTCCAAGTCCAACCTTTTCCCGCTGAGGACCGTCGTCCCCTCTCCAACTGATCTCCAACAGAACCACCGATTTCACACACGGTAACACATGCCACCCAAGAAATACGTGACTCTTACACAAAGGTCACAACTCCATAATCACGTCATGGCCACCATGAGGACCACTGCAATACCTTGGTGACTAGCGTCCCATACCACTAATCGTGCAATCCAGGTAAAGCCACACACACATCACACCTCAACAGGAATCAATCAATGGATCACAACGAAGATATGAAACCATACTCAATAAAGGAATGGATCACAGTCCAACAACAACGATGAATAACGCAAGTTATCATCAACAATAGGAGGGTACAAACAACACACACGCTAGCATTTGAACACCAAACTAGCATGCTTATCAAATGGGTAAACCAAAAGATAGTTCCGAAGAACACACAGGACTCATCACGGTTCAACGAAACACAATGTTGAACACTTAGCACGATTCAAGACACCAAAACCTACATGGATCCCTACCATATAGTTCTAGACATACGAAACATCAAGAAGACACTCAAATAGTTCCACAAAAGAACATCGGGAAGTCAAAAGACCAAATACCGAGTCAAAAGGATCACGGGGAACAAATCCCCACACAACCATACATTGTACCCCGCGGGTGGACCCACGGGTAGGCCCCTACCCGCGGTTTTGCCCGCGGGTACATACCCACGAGGCTCTTGTACCCCGCAGGTGGTCGACGGGTGGACCCCCTACCCGCCGTTCTGCCCGCGGGTACACACCTGTACCAAAATTAATCCCTTCGGGGATTTTCAACTCCAAGCTCAAATTCAAGTCCAAAACATGCCAAAACTCACCAAATACAACAAAATGACTTGAATCAAAGGAATAGCCAAGCAATGGCATAAAAGAACCCTAAACACAAGCTCAAGATATGCATTTTCACAAGACAATGCACTCACATTTTATAGCAAAATCACATGTAGAATCCAAGAATCATCAAATAGGTAAGAAAAATAGATTTTGTAGAGCATGTGTTACCTCTTGTAGACAAAAACCTTCACTTAACACCTCACCAAGCTCCTAACAAAGCTCACCTTCCAAACCCACTTCAAGAACACACCAAAAGATCATAAAGATTCTATCTTTAAGAAAAGACACTTTAGAAAACACTAAAAACACAAGATGAACATAGATCTTACCCTCCTAGATGCCCAAATGTATGAAAGGTAGAATCTTGGAGACAACTCATGAAGTTTTGACAAAGCTTCAACTTGGCTTGGAAGAAAAACTATCTACCTTTTTAGAGAGAAGGTAGAGCTAGAATTTGGAAAGTGTAAAGAGAGAAATGAGGGTGTTCTACTAGGTTAGCTTACAATACTAACACAATGTGAAAAGTCAAGAATACCCTTACTAACATGAAGAGGTGTAAGGGAACAAGGGAACTCCTTACAAAGCTTAAGGTACAACTTTGACTTTGGGGTTGACTAGTCAATTACTAGTCCCCGACTATTGAATTTTCAGGATTATAAGGAATTAAATTACCAATTGGTTTAGGATTAATTACCTAATTAATCCCTTAATTAAATTTGGATTACGGGGTGTCACAGAAATTACCATATTCCTTTTTCGTTTTAGCCCTCCCCTCTTCATTAGTTTCTGTTTTATACAAAGTAAAAATTAGAGAATATATAATAACTTTTTGAGTAAATAAGAAAGTAAAAGTTACCAATTCTCTTCAATACAACACTCTCCTCCTCTGTGTTTTATACAAAATAAATATTAGAGGAGATATAACACGGAGTAACTTTTTTGAGTAAATAAGAAAGTAGAAATTACCATCATTCTTCTTCACTTTAGCAAAAACCTCTGCGACCTTCTCTTTATTAGCTTCTGTTTTATACAAAGTATAAAGATTAGAGATATAATAACTTTTTGAGTAAATAAGAAAGTAGAAATTACCATATTCCTTCTTCGTTTTAGCAATCCCCTATTCATTAGCTTCTGTTTTATACAAAGTAAAAATTAGAGAATATATAATAACTTTTTGAGTAAATAAGAAAGTAAAAGTTACCAATTCTCTTCAATACTGCACTCTCCTCCTCTGTGTTTTATACAAAGTAAATATTAGATGAGATATAATACGGAGTAACTTTTTTGAGTAAATAAGAAAGTAAAAATTACCATCATTCTTCTTCACTTTAGCAAACACCACTGCAACCTTCTCTTTATTAATTTCTGTTTTATACAAAGTATAAAGATTAGAGATATAATAACTTTTTGAGTAAATAAGAAAGTAGAAATTACCATATTCTTTCTTCGTTTTAGCAATCTCCTCTTTATTAGCTTTTGTTTTATACAAAGTATAAAGATAAAGATTAGGAGCAAAATATTGAAACAACTTCTTTCCGTGCAACTTTTTCTTTAAATTTTAAATTTATTTATTTTTAAATTTTGGCATAGATATATGATATATCTTAGTCTTGGTGTGATTGCTTGCCTTACTGCTTACATTATCGAAAGTCCGAAGATAGTAGTATAGTACACTTCCGTTTCGGAAGTGAGAGTCCGGAAGACACCGTTCCGTAAGATTTCCCCATCGCATTTCTTTTTTTTCTCTCATCAATTTGCCTCACTACAACTCTGTAAGTCTTCGATCTCCAGCTTTGCTTCTCCGTTCTGGTGAATTCGTACATTTATATATTTATGTAGTGAAAATTTGTAAAGCGCAGCACACAGTGATGTTGAAACTGACGTTGTAACACAAACGATCTGTAACGCAGTTCGGGCAAACAACCCTAATCTGCGAGGCACTTCTCAATTTGAGAACTTGCCTAAATCCACTAAAAGCTCAATATTTAAAGTACACTATTTGGAACCTGAGATTACACAATAGAATGATCTTTCCTACCAAACTATTGAAACCTAAACACATGTACTACTTTCTAGGGAAATTTAGTATCCTATTCTCAAAGACTCTCGTACCTCACAATTAGATGTTGAATGCTTGAGGTCTACAATAAAGGACATCCCCTATTTATAGTAGCTATTCCTAACAGATTCGTGAATAACAAACTATTCCTAATCAAAATAGAACTAGAAAATCTTCAACAACAAATCCCCTTAGAACTAGTATTCTTCAATAACTATTCCTCTTAGTACTGATATTCCTTTATAGAACTGGAATTCTTTTTGCACATAACTTTGACAAAATACTTTGAGTCAACATTCTCCCCCTTTGTCAAATTTTTGGCAAACACCTTGGTCTCTGTCTTTCTCCCCCTTAGTTGATGCCACAGTGGTGTTTGATTGATGGTAGATTAATGACAGGTTAGATCACTATCCCATGTGTAGCTTTTATCAGATGATCTTTTCCCCATCATAACACATTCATGTTTTTGGTTGTAGACTTTACAATTCTCTTTGGAAAATTCTACTTTGAGTTCATCATCACATAGTTGACTTATACTGATAAGGTTTGCTTTGAGTCCTTGTACCAAAAAGACTCTTGGTAATCTGGGCAGTCCATGGACATTCAAGGTACCACTTGCGATAATCTGTCCTTTCCCTCCATCTCCAAAAGTGACATGCCTTTCATTTTTGTACTGGATATTCTCAAGATAATGTGGATTTCCTGTCATATGTCTTGAACATCCGCTGTCAAAATACCAAACACTTTGTTCTTGGCTTGTTTCTGAGGTATACGCAACAACTTGTGTTTGATCCTTTCTTACCCATACTTTCTTGCTGTTATTTTTGCTTTGTACTGTCCAATCTCTGTTGTTTTGTCTGTAATAGAGATCATTTTGTCTTTTGAAGCAATATGCCTTTATGTGTCCCAATTTGTGGCAGTAATAACATCTGATTCTCCTTCGGTGTTGAAAGTGATGTTGTGACACCTCAGGATTTTCAGAAGAGTGGCTTTCACTGGACGCTGGATTTGGAGATCTAGGCCTTCCATCTAGTGCCTTGATTTCTTGTAACAGTTTGGCCTCTCTGTTTTTAGATTCTAATAATTCATTTTGAGTTTCTTTGAGGCGCTTTTCTTCTCTATCTTTTTCACCTTTTAGAAACTGATTTTCTTGCATGAGTTCTAGATTCACTTTGATGATTTGTTCCCATTTAGCATACAATTGGGTATATGACTCTAGCAGTTCTTGCATATCATTTTCGTTTTCGTTGTCATTCTCATGATTTGCAGTGAATGCTACGAAATTAGTGTTGGTGTCTTCTTCACTATCTGAGTCATCGCTTAGTGTTGCCACATATGTTTTGTTCTTCCTTTTAAAATATGTTGGACATTCTGACTGGATGTGTCCAAACCCTTTGCACTCGTAGCACTGAATTCCTTCAGGTTTTAGACTCTCCATTCCTTTTGAAATAGATTGATTTTGTCCAGTTGGGAAGTTCCCTTGATTGATTGAAGCACTTTTGCTTCTAAATTTGTTGAATTTTTTGAGAACTCTGTTGAAATTCTTTGTTAGGAGAGCAATTGATTGTTCCATGGTTTCAGTATCAATTTCTGGACTCTCTTTCTGCTTTGATTGGAGCGCAATTCCTTTGTCATTATTTTTCCCTTTTTGCAATATCTCAAGCTCATATGTTTGAAGATTTCCCATTAGATCACTGAGTTTGTAGGTGTTTAGATCTTTGTTTTCTTGGATGGCTGTAACCTTTATCATAAATCTCTCAGGTAAGGAACGTAGGACCTTTTTGACGAGCCTAGGTTCAGGAATAGGTTCGCCTAGGTTAAACGCATCTCCAGCAATCCCTAAAACTCTTGCACTAAACTGTGAGATATCCTCATCTTCTTCCATTTTTAAATTCTCAAACTGTGTTTGTATCATTTGCAGCTTGGATTGCTTAACAGAAGTGATTCCTTCGTGATGATCACATAGTATATCCCATGCAATTTTAGCTATGCCAGTGGTAGCGATTAGTTTGAAAGTATCTTCACTTACCGCTCCATATATGGCATTCATTGCTTTTGAATTGTAATTATATTCTCTTCGCTCTTCTTCATTCCATTCTGCTTTAGGTTTTTGATTACCTCTATCATCAACTGGATTCTTCCATTCTTTCTCAACGGCTTCCCAAACTCCTTCTCCTTGTGCCAAAATATAGATTTTCATTCTAGCTTTCCAGTAGGAGAAATTTGTACCAAAGAGAGCAGGGGGCCTGGTGCTTGACAGTCCTTCTCTGGGAAACTCCATTAGGATCCTGCTAATAATTTAAGCAGTTTGGCTCTGATACCAATTGAAAATTTGTAAAGCGCAGCACACAGTGATGTTGAAACTGACGTTGTAACACAAACGATCTGTAACGCAGTTCGGGCAAACAACCCTAATCTGCGAGGCACTTCTCAATTTGAGAACTTGCCTAAATCCACTAAAAGCTCAATATTTAAAGTACACTATTTGGAACCTGAGATTACACAATAGAATGATCTTTCCTACCAAACTATTGAAACCTAAACACATGTACTACTTTCTAGGGAAATTTAGTATCCTATTCTCAAAGACTCTCGTACCTCACAATTAGATGTTGAATGCTTGAGGTCTACAATAAAGGACATCCCCTATTTATAGTAGCTATTCCTAACAGATTCGTGAATAACAAACTATTCCTAATCAAAATAGAACTAGAAAATCTTCAACAACAAATCCCCTTAGAACTAGTATTCTTCAATAACTATTCCTCTTAGTACTGATATTCCTTTATAGAACTGGAATTCTTTTTGCACATAACTTTGACAAAATACTTTGAGTCAACACGTAGCGCTAAGCACTTGCTACAATTTTATGAAACATGATCTGAAGTAGAACTTTACGGGATTTTCAGGGCCTTATGGTGGACTGAAGTTATTCTAGAGATAGTGTTGTGTTCTTGTGTAAAAATCATTGATAGCTTCCTGGGGTCTTCTGCTGTTTTTTTTTTTTTTTGAAATTTTTATTAGTTCTTATTCTGCTATATATGATATGAATTTCGGTTTGCACAGTTTGTGGATCTGTAAGCCATGAGTTTTGTTTTTTGAGGCACAAGAGGAGATATAGCAACTGGATTTCCAGGCTTGATCCCAGAGCGGCGTACTGGGGTATTCTTCTATTGTAGGCCTTGTTTTTGTAACTGTATATAAGTCTACATCCTTCTGCTTATTTGTTACCTTAATGCTGCTTGGCCCGTTAATAGCAACGCTTGGTTTTCTTTTTACAGGTTCTTTGCTTCAATTTTGTTGACTTCTTTTTTTTTTTTTTTTTTTTTTTTTTTTTTTTTTTTTTGGGATTACTTACAATCTACTTGACATAATTTATGCCTTTTTCTTGTCACATTGCTCTTGCTGTTCATGATTCTAAACTCTCATCAATTGTCACCTAACTAGCTTTCTGGTTGGTACTATTTTTTATATGGAACTTGAATCTAATTTGTTAACCTTTTTCCACATAGAGGACTTTTCATCCTCATATTTCTACTTTGTTAAAAATTCTTGTTTTTTTTTTTTTTTTTTTTTTTTTTTTTTTTTTTTTTGGGTAAAGAAAAAGGCACTACAAGAAATGTTTTACTGCAAATATTGCTACCTAAATTCTATTTGCACTTTTGTAGTTGTAATTACTTTGGAAAAATATTATTTGCAGCTGTGGTTGGTGCTTGGCGTTTTCCTGATGGCAACAACACTCAGGATGTATGCAACCTGTCAGTAACTTCAAGCTCAAGCACAACCTGAAAGTTGCTAATAGCAAATGACTCAACCAAATATATCGTTGTGCTAAATTATAATTTATATTTCATTGGCTTATTGCTGATACATCTTTTTTATCATTTTGGTAAGGTAAAGAATGTTTAATAGATGTTACATGAAAGTTATAGGAGAATGTATTATTAGTATTATTTTCATCACCATGCAGATCTTGCGGATATTTAGTGAATCTGCCCAGAGCATTGCTGTCTTAAAGGGTGATTTGGCTGATGCGAAGAAACGCCTGGGTACCCGTAATAAGCAGTTATGTATAGGTAGGTTACTCTGCGACATATTATACCTCTCTTAGATCAAATTGAAGGTATATCTAAGGTCAACAACTGCTTTATGTGTTCCTATATCTATTGTACAGTTTCATGTCTATTCCTTCTAGTACACAAGGAATAACAGAATGTTGGATTTGTTAGTATTCGTGGTTTGAGTTGCATGCGACAGATCGTTTGTGTTATAATTTAATATATATTTATAGCAAGCAATCTTACCCAGTCAACTATGATATATAATTTAACAATTTTCAATCACATCATCACAAACAAATATCACACTCTTAAAAGGAAAGGCTGAACTCATAAAGCAATAAAGGTGTATTGCAATAAGGGTCACTCAACAGCAAAACTTTAAAGATGACACAATTTTTGACATCAACAATATTAAGAGTTGAGATGTAACGTTTACGTCAACAAGAGTAACACTTCTAGACAGAAGGATTTTCAAGGAAGCAATAACACTTTAAGTATTACAAGTATACATTAAGCAGTAATAGTTAGACACAATATGACTTGCAAGCAAGTAGACTTTTTCATAAGTAGTAAGAGTAAGGGCATCTTCAACCCATTTAACACCAAAACACAAAAAATCTCCACCAAATGTCACATCGAAAGAAATATTCTCTACACCAAATTTTATTTATCTCCAACCCATTACACCAAAACACCAAATTTTTACATCAAATATTTGTTGGAGAATTGGTCAGAATATGTCGTAGATCTAGGCTACTGTTTATATAGGCTGAGTATAGAAGAAATCCTGAATCAATCGGTGACGTGCGCAAGACACTACCTTAAAAGCAAATATTGCCCGGAGACGGTAACAGTCTTACCGGTTGCTTTCGACCAGTTAACACCGAAGCTCAGGATTGCAGAAGAGAAGAAGAGAAGAATGTATTGAGCATTTAGAGCTCAGGAGGAGCAGGGTATTTATAGCTATAGAATTACCTGCTCCTCCTCTCTTAGCCATTCAATTTCCACTAAAATATGCTAGGGGAGTGGTGGAGAGGACCACATTTGTAGGAGTTAAACCTCAATTGTGGATGGAAATAATCCACACTTGTTTGGGTGTTATTCCCAACATCCCCCACACACTCAACAAGTGTGAATGAAGTCGATGTCTGAGCGGAAGTGAGCGCTGACCTTAATGCCAGTGGTTTAAACCTTGAACTGACACGTAGTGACTTGAGTAACTTTCTACTTACTAGTGAATTGAATCTTGAACTAGCAAAGGAGAGGTAGTTTTGAACTCATGTGCACACATCAGCACCCATTATGCAGGTTCTTCGGAAGTCAAACTCTTTAACTTGTGGTCTACCTCTGTGTAGACCCTAACTTAGAACATCTCATGTTCAGTTGCTTTATGAGTACGTAAGCTTGGCTTACTTTGTTGATTTTAAGCTCATTTCCTTCGATGTATCGATGACGACCTTTCTATTTAGTCCTTTAGCGAGAGGATCTGCTATTCTTCTCGGGCTCCATATACTCTAATGTGAGTGCTCCAGTCATAATCAACTGTCTTACAGATTCATGTATGACCATTATGTGCCTTCTTTGTGAGTTACAGTGTATGGGCATAGACGGTGTAGCACACCCCCACCATGGCACGTCTGCCACTAGGTCTCTCAGCCACTCGGCTTTTTGCCCAACTAGATCAAGAGGTATAAATTCATTCTCCATTGTTGATCTAGCTTATACAAGTCTGTTATGTCTATCTTAATATAGACTTCCACCATGTCTAAGTCTATTTCACCATAGACTTTTAACTTTGACAAGTCTAATCGCATTATAGTTTTTTATGTCTTGTCAAGTCCATCTCAATATAGACTTTTAACTCTATCAAGTCTATCTCAGTATAGACCACCTTTAAAGGCTTATAGAGTAGTTAAGTATATAAATCAGTTGTAAGTCTTTTCTTTCTATCATAGGCATTGTTCTTTGCAATGCAAATGACAGTTTGTGAATCACAATGTATATGTAGTGAAGGTGTTAGCTAGACACCCCCAAAACTCCACGTTTATCAACATATTTCTTAGCCACTCAGCTTCTTGGAATAACCCCATTATCTTTCATAAGAGGCGGTTAGCCCTTTTCTACTCAAGTTAGGGATCTCTTTAGGTCTACCTCAACGTAGACCATCCCAATTGAGTATAAGTCACCAAGAGCACTTTGTACTTATGTCATTATGCAGTGAATTCATTAGGTTTGTCTCAACAAAACCACCCTTTCTCAAAGAGTTATGAATTCATTAAGAGCTGTAGCTCAACCTCACAAGTACATACACTGTCGGAATAAACAACTAGTGTACTATTTTGTAACTCTTTTCATGGCTTCGTTTGACCACAGAAGTGGGATCCACCACGAATTCATTACCACTTGGACTTTAAGTCCTTCCAATGAGTCAGCGACTAATCCTCATAATTAGCCCTCAAGTAAGTTAATTCTCTTGAACAAACTTACATGCACTTTGACGAGTACTTTGTTTACTCGTAAATAATCCCTTGATATTTTCATGTTTAACATGAAACATTCTCTTTCATCATTATTCTCAATACCACAGAGAAACTTTTGATGAGAATATAAAGAGTTTATTACCCCCACAATGCAACACTTACAAATATTTGTTGTCAAATGTATTTGATCTCTTACCCAGACTGATCTTTGGTGCCCAACATTAGCTCCTTTGTAGACTGAGTTTTGCCGATTTGCTTTGTGGAGCATTTTAGAAGCTTCGCACTCTGTCTGATACATGCTCAACAGTTGAATATATTTCAACAAACTTAGTTATCTCAATTGATCACAATTACCCTTTAATTAGGAATTGTAGGTATTTCAATATGACTCAACCAAGAGTTTAAATAATATATATATATATATATATATATATATATATATATATATATATATATATATAAACGCTCATTGTTAGTAAGCCATAGAAATAATGTTGTCCACATGCTACATCAAGTTGAACAACATAATCATAAATTTCACATCATATTCTTATAAGAAATTAATGTTATACACAAGGAATATGTTCGAGCTCATATTTATTCAGAAATATCTCTCAACAATGAGACTTCAGAGTTGCCACTTGCACAATTTTCCATTCCCTTGAGAAAATTAAAACTCATATAAAGCATTCATAGGATGCAGATCAATATTACTGTTGCAGTACTTCAACAATTTCTATTGCAAGGCTTTGATTAACAACATATGAGAGTCAACCTCATTTCAGGTGAAGATCAAGTGGCGCTCTAACTAGCTTGCATGATCAACACCCTACTTCTTAAAACTCCCAGGTCGAGTGGTGAAACCGAAGTTTTTTTAAAAACCATCTTCCTAGACAGAGTATTCAAGAACAATGACTTTTCCATGGTACCACCATAAATGTGAGTAAAGCCTTTGAAATTAAACTCAGTACACAATTTAAATATTTAAGATTATGTGACTGTAATATAGTATGTATCTCATCAAATAGTGCAATATTTGTAACATATCCACAATAATAACACATAATGTTGTAAATTGACATGTGCATAAGTACACAATTTATAGGCTTTATATCATATTGATAATTTAATCACTTAGCAGTAGTGTTAAATCATCACTTCTAACACAACAAATTCATAAAGCTCATACATGTGAATAATAACAATTCACTTATCTTTGTGTACACCGCTGTTAATTTTCTATATAATATTCAAAGCACTCGCCATACAAAATATGGAATGGTGATTTCTAAAATGCTTGTCACAATATATATTTCACGTTTAACATGCTCTCAAAAGATAATAATCAATTGAATGCAAAGATATAGGCAAACCATCTTCTAAATTATGTCATTATGATAATTTTAAGAGACATGATCAATGCCAATAATATATGACTACTAATGCTCAAGACAATCATTTACATATGATAGTCTATTATCATATAAGTATGCATGTGCCATATTAAAATATGAGGAGACAAATCTCATTGGCAAGACTGAGCTATGCAAAGAGTATACATGAATAATGACTCTTCAACTCCATGCTACAAACAAATTGCAACCAAAGACTTTGATGTATACTTATTATATCTTTATACAAATAATTTTAGTACATGATTCAAATCTTTAAAACCATGTGACAAAGATATATAATTATATATGCATCTCATATTCAATTTGAAGGAACAAATAGCCCCCACTAATAAATTAATCATGCATCACTTAAATTTATGTTCCCCAGTTATCTAACGCATAATCACTTTTTGATCTCATTTTGTGAAGAACATCATATATAACATTTTCGAACAACTCTAAATCCAAGAAACACATGTCTACACATAGACATAACAATATGCATGAGATATTGATCATCAAGATTAACCATTTATATCTTGGATGTTAAGAGTGAGAGAGCATGTTTAAGTAATATAATGATCTTGCTATTTCAATTTTTCAAGACCAATATGCTATAAAAGATAATTATGTGATATATCATCATCGTAACTATAACTGCTTACACTTTAAATTCAAGAGCACAAGATTTAATAATGACTAAGTCATAATATATACAGAATATTAATAATTTTGTGTGCTGAAAAGCATGTAGCTAATTATCTATTAGTTATGTCAATCCTCATGTTGTGCACACTGAAGAGAACGAGCCAAAAGATGAAATATAATGTGGTGATGACGCA